TCCCCCCTCTCCTACATGCGGCAGCGGTGGTGGAAAAGGGGCCCATCGTCTTCGTCTGCCGGCACGCCTCGGGCCAGGCGCGCTGCAGCCCCCGCTTCCCGGCCGCCCCCCCTCCTGCTCTGAGCATCGGCGCGCCCCGAGGCGCGAAGGCCACGGCCCTCCACGGCTCGTGGAAGTCCGCGAAGGGCACCTGCGTCATCGGGACGCGGGCGGGTCCACTGAAGCGGCCTCCCCGCCGCCGCGCGGCGGAGGCACCGCGACCGGAGGCGTTCCGAGTTTTCCCGCCTCCGGGGGGCCCTTGCTCCAAGCCCCGTCTTCTAATCGTCCCCCGGGTCCGGTTGTGTGAGGCGCCTTTTTGTTGTACCTGGGGGGGGTCCGGTTTGTTGGAACGCTTCTTTTGGATTGGAGCCTATAGGGGGTCCGGTTTGTTGAGGCGCCCCGTCGAAGTGGGGTGTCCGGAATATTAGGTCGCATTTGGAGGGGGGTCCCGTTTTGTAGAGGGGGGTCGATTAGTAAGGGATTTGGAGTACGGTGACTGGGGGGAGACAGTTCGTGGACACTCCCGGCTCAAAGTCGGCACGCGCGGGGGAGGCCGCGGTCGCAGTGCGACTCATCAGACCCAGCGCCAACTCTGAACACTGGGGGCCGGGGGAGGCGCTGACCGATGAGTGCGGCACGCGTGTCTGGCATGTCTTGCGAGGCCTGCACCGGTTCCTTGCACCGTCAGGAGGCGACTCGGGATGAAGACCCCTCCTGGGGAAGTGGTCTTACAGCTCCAGGGCCCACGTTGTGAACCAGTGATGTCGTAGTTGCGTCGGAGGTCTGGGATCGAGGATCGATGTAGTCGTTTCCGCCGTTTTCGTCAACGAGGGGCCCGCGCCCCAGGGCCATCCGGAAACGAGTCAGGATGAGACACTGGCCAGGAGGGGTCCTGCTGATAGGATCGATGATTGATCGGTCCCAACGAGGTCTTGCTGACAGGATCGATGATCGAGGTCTTGATGATATGATCGATCGGTCCGAGAGTGACCGTGTCGATCCCGACGATGTTCTTCGTCGGTCTCGGGCTTCTGGGGGGGTCCGCTGGACCATCCGAGATGTCATCGCGCCAACATCGCAGAGCGGATTCGTTCGGAAAACGATCGGATGGGCCCGGAGTGTCCCGGAGAATTTCGTTCCGGATTTCGAGGTGAATTTCGTGCGGATTTTTTTGGGCCAGGAGTGAAGACTAAGAAGCATCCACGCGAGATTCCCTCCGTCAGAAATCCACGCAGAAATCCGCTGCAGCGCGTCTGCAAGGTCGGTGCAGTGAGAGGTGCACCGAGGAGCCCCGCGGCCCCCGCGTCGAGAATGACGACAGCGTCGGAGGCACGGGGGGGCCACACGCCGACGGTCCGCCTGCACCTGTCCTGGCCAGGCCCATGCTGAAGCCATACGATCAGGGACAACTTCAGGGGGGCGATGCAGTGTGGGCGCGCATCAAGAAACCATATGCTTTTCGTCAGGGTATACTGGGTTTCTTCGCTCCTCGCTCTGCGCGGCGACTTCCCGCAGCCGTTGAAGGAGCTGCTGCGTTCAGGGTGCTCTGGGTTTCCCCTCAGGTGCACCTCGCGCACGGGTTCTCAGGGTTGAGTTTCTTGCGAGGGTTCCTTGCGGCCGCACCCACACTGTAGGCTCCATGGGGGCAGATGCAACGACCCCCAAGCGCGCACTGACCGCCGATAGGGGCCCGATAGCCTACACCAAGACTGATCGCTGTCGCTGTCGAGGGTCCCTCGCCGATCCCTCGGCGATGCATCGCCGCTTCCGGCTCGACGTGTCCCCCCCGAGCTGGCCCCTCCGAATGCTCCCAGGACGCGCCCCAAGATCATGCCGGATCGGCGCAGAGGCCACCTCGAGCGCCCCCAGACACCCGAGGCATAATTGATTGGTTCAATCCGCGGCCTCCGGAGGTCTCGATTCTTTCGTCTTGTTCACGGATCCATTTCGGATGGTCTCAGAGCCGGTGACTCCGATGAGGGGACGTTTCTTCAACAACCGCTTGGGGGACCGATCACCGGGGACCTCGGCAGGCCATGGGCCATGGGCATACATACATACATACATACATACATACATACATACATACATACATACATACATACATACATACATACACATACATACACATTCATACATACATACATACATACATACATACATACATACATACATACATACATACATACATACATACATACATACATACATACATATATACATACATACATACATACATACATACATACATACATACATACATACATACATACATACATACATACATACATACATACATACATCTATGCGTTTATACATACAAACATACATATGTAGCTATATGTAGAGAGAGATACATACATATGTATGTATATAGATATGGATGTACGGGGTCCTGAGGCAGTCGAGTGTAACCGTCTCAATCGCCTGCCGAGGTTTCCGAAGAGCGATCCACAGGCGGCGCAGGTGGAACACAAATCCTTGCCTCGCCATGACGGGCCCCGGTGGCCGAGAGCGCGGCAGAACCGCCGGTTGACGCGCGAATCAGATCGTCGGAGACTGTTGGCCACGGCCAGCGCCCCGCCGAGGAAGGACCCGGTCACGGCCCGGCTCTCCTACATGGAGCCGCTGGAGGAGGGGCAGCGCCTCCACGGCTGGCTGGACGCCGTGGCGGGGGAGGAGTCGCTGTGGCAGGGGTCCCTGGCGCTCCTGGAGGCCGGCAAAGGCCCGTGGTACGGGCCGTCCTTCGGTCCAGCCCCGGAGGTCGACGCGAGCGACGAACTCCCCAGAGCTCCATTATAGTTGGTGGAAGTCGATTAATGGCGAGGGTGCATGCTGCCAAATAGTTTCCAGACGTCTAAAGCGGTTCAAGCATGTTTTAAATGTGTAAGAAATGTTCGAAACATGGTTAGAACATGTTGTACACATTTGAAACACAATGTTGAATTCAGTGATAGGATTGTTCGAGTGTCCATGGTCGTGGCATCCACAACCGTAGAGTGAGCTCCATCCGGAGGGAGATGTCTGGCATGCTCCGCCTCTGGGGGCCCTCGCCTGGCCCCCCCCGGGCCGTAGCAGGGGCACGCTCGGGACGAAGCGACGGCCCCGGGGAGAGGGTCGGGATCTCGGAGACCCCGTCCATGGAGGATCAAAGTCGGGTGAGGAAAAAGTACCCAAGCCTCTACCCTCCCCTCGTTTTCCCCTTTCTGGGCCTCCTGGGAGGCCCTCGTCGCCACCGCTGGATTCGCCTCGAAGTTCTGGTCAGAACGCACCCAGGGAGATGTCTGGGGAGCAGCGGCATCGGTACCTTTTTGCTTTCCCATAATTCTTCATAACACGATGAAGACGTAGCCGCATTGAGGCGCCCGTCTTCGCATTCGGGATATAATACATCTGGGCGGTTTGGTGCGTCACATCTGCAGAGAAAGACCCCCACCCCCTATCCCTAATGTGCCTGGCCCTCCTAACTTATGTCCAAAGGGTTAGGGGCCCTTTTTTGGTTGATCACCCGTAGTAGACAAAGCAGGACATGGGATGTCTGGGCCCATACCCTCGCGGTCTGGACACCGAGGCACGACTCCACGGACACGCGATCCTTTGGTGGATACGTTCCGCGCCGTGGCCTCCGGGCAAAGCTTACCCGTGCGTATCCATTAATTGAAGGAGAGAAGCAACGCCATGAACATAAACTTTTGGCGCTCCGTGCAGATTTCTATGATCCACGCTCGGCCCACCCGGCGGCGCCTCCGGCGCCGCCCCTGGCGCGCTCCGCGCGCCAAGGAGGGGGGGCCAACGCAGATCCAAGAGATGCGCGCGGATTGCCAAAAGCTTCTGTTTATGGCGGTTTTCTTCTTCTCATTAAGGTTGCGGCTGCGGAGTCCAGACTGCGAGGCCGTGGATGCGGATATGTTTCCCGCCCGCGAGGTCGTGGGGGACATCCGGGTGCGCCTGAAGGGCGGGGACCCCAAGCCAGCCATGGAGACGCAGATCCGCGTCGCCGACGAGGAGGGCGCAGACTGGGAGGATCGAGCCACGAAAAGCGGCACAAAGACGAACTGTCATTGATGGGCGTGCTTCCACCACCACCACCACCACCACCACCACCACCACCACCACCACCACCATAAGTTGGAGGGGGAGGGGGTCCTCCTCCTCCTCCTCCTCCTCCTCCTCAAGCACAAGGGGGCCCTGGGCGCGCCGACCATTTTGGCTCCAACCGTGCCCATGGATTCCTGCCTCGGCGGCTCATCGCGCCGTGCTTGTGGCACCTGAGTGAGAACGTAAGCAATTCTACAGGGTGGCAAAGATCGAGGCAAATTTCTCCAATGGAAGCTACGGGACGCGCCCGCGAGGGGCGCAATACGGTGAAGGGGAGCACGACAGACCGGAAGATGCGCAGACAGCACGCAAGGATCTCAGCAGATAACCTCATTAGGCGCTTGTATACAGAGATTGCGACATTGAAGTGGAAGATAGACAGTTATGATGCTTGGTACTGGTCTTGGGCGAAGGCGAAGCACGAACCCAATGTCATCAGCTACAACGACGAGGAGTCTTGTACGGTGGCAGTGGCGGAGGCGAAGCACGAGCCCAACGCCATCAGCTACAACGGCGACGATCCTGCGAAGTCTTGTACGGCGGTGGTTGGGGACGCAAAGCACGAGCCCAATGTCATCAGCTGCAACGACGTGAAGTCTTGCACGATGGCAACGGCGGAGGCGAAGCACGAGCCCAATGCCATCAGCTACAACGACGACGTCGATCCCGCGCAGTCTTGTACGGCGCTAGTGGCGGAGGTGAAGCACGACCCCAATGTCATCAGCTGCAACGACGTGGAGTCTTGCACTTTGGCAGTGGTGGGGGCGACGCACGAGCCCAATGCCATCAGCTACAACGACGACGACTCCCCGCGAAGTCTTGTACGGCGCTTAGTGGCGAAGGCGAAGCACAAGCCCAATGTCATCAGCTACAACGACATGGACTCTTGTACGTTGGCAAGGGCGGAGGCGAAGCACGAGCCCAACGCCATCAGCTACAGAGACGAGAGCGGGAGGAGTGCTGCGACGACCAAGCCTAACGTCGTCAGCTGCAGACCCGAGAATGGAGCACAGGTGAAGATGGAGCCAGATGACTTCTACCCTAGCTACAGCTCAGGGATCAGCGCGTGTGAGAAAGGCGGGATGATTGAGCCATTTACGTCTCACACTAGTCGCTCTACCCCTAGTCTAGGCCCAGGGTGCAGTTCGTATGGCTACAGTGCCGCCATCGGGCCTCGCAGAATGCAGCAGGTGAAGTTAGAGCCCAATATTGCTAGCTACCGTGATGCTATCTCTCAGGAGCTCAGAGAGATCAGTGGAACTCCAGACGCCCCTTTTTTGCCCAGCGGTTCGGCGGTGATCGATTGGGGCGCCATCAAGAATACAGATCAAGACTGCAAGCAAATGTGAGGAGACTGTGAGAACAATTTCGTGCCGCGCGTGATAAATTCCGTGCCACTCGTGATGGATGTCCTGAACTGCGGCTTCAAGTTCAGGGAATTTTTATAGAGAGATTGCACATTGACTTTGTCATATGATCATGCTCATGCTCATGCTCCTCCTCCTCCTCCTCCTCCTCCTCCTCCTCCGCCTCCTCCTCCACCTCCTCCTCCTCCTCCTCCTCCTCCTCCTCCTCCTCCTCGTCCTCCTCCTCCTCCTCCTCCTCCTCCTCCTCCTCCGTCCTCCCTCCAACTTCTGGTGGTGGTGGTGGAAAACAGGCCCATCAGTCATGGATTTCCAGAGGTCCGTGCGGACTTCGTGCGTCGGCGCTGCGCCCCCCTGGGCGGGGCCTGCGGCCTCGCCCCTGGCGCGCTCCGCGCGCCGGAGGGGTGTCCGGCGCCGACCTCCAGGAAGTCCGTGCGGACCCTCCTCCCTCCTCCCTCCGCCCTTCCGCCCTCCTCCCTCCCTCCCTCCTCCCTCCCTCCTCCTCACTCCTCCCTCCTCCCTCCTCCTCCCTGCTCCCTCCTCCCTCCCCCCCCCCCCTCCGCACTTACTCCATATGAATATGCTCTCCCTCTTTCCCTGATGGCGTCCGGGTGATGGCCGCGCACCCTCCCGCGCACTGTTTTTTTACACACAGGATGCCCGGGAAATCCCGGGAAACGACTCGCTGAGGCGCCGGCGTCATTTTTTCTCAAAATGCTGCTCTCGCGCCGGCGTCATTTTTTCCCAAAATGCTGCTCTCGTTGAGGCGCCGGCCTCATTTTTGCTCCCGAATCCTTCCCCTGATGGCGTCCGGGTGATGGCCGCGCACCCTCCGCGTACTGTTTTTTACACACAGGATGCCCGGGAAATCCCGGGAAACGACTCTCGCTGAGGCGCCGGCGTCATTTTTTCTCAAAATGCTGCTCTCGTTGAGGCGCCGGCCTCATTTCTGCTCCCGAATCGTTCCGAATCGTGCTCCCGCTGCAGCGTGGGCCTCATTTTCGGATCGGTGCTTGGCCTCCGTCGTTCAGGATGGCGTTCTCGCCCCAGCGCGGGCCTTTTTCTCGCGCGCCCATCCGCCCGCCACCACCGCGCCGCACCGCCACCACCACCACCACCACCACCACCACCACCACCACCACCACCACCACCACCACCACCACCACCAGCACCAGCACACCACACACCACCACCACCCACCACCACCACCACACCACCACCACCACCACCACCACCACCACCACCAGCACAGCACCAGTACCAACACCACCCACCAGCACCACCACACACCAGCACCACCACCACCACCACCACCACCACCACCACCACCCACCACCACACCACACCACCACCACCACCACCACCACCACCACCACCACCACCACCACCACCACCACCACGCACCACACGCACGCACGCACGCACGTGCACCACCACCCACTACGCACGCGCGCGCGGAGCCACAGGTCCGCTACGACACGCGTCCGCGGATAGAGAAAATCAGCGCCATGGTAAGGGATGGGAGGGAGGGGTAGGACGTCAGATATGACGCGAGCGCACCTAGCTTGCCCCTCCCCCCTCCCCCCTTCCCCCCTCCTCCGAGGTGCGATGTGCGTGTGTGCCCCTCGCTTTCGTTTTTACAGAGGAGCCCACGGCCTTCGAGCTCGACCGGGCGGGCGTGGACGCGGCCCAGATGGCGAAGCCGAACCTGGAGAGGATACTGCCGATGACGCAGGCCGACGGCCTCGAGGAGGATAAGGAGCAGGGCGACCAGAAGAGGTCCAAGACATGAGGGCGGGCGGTGGCGTACGGGGGCTCGCGCGGGCGCCGTCCCTGGCCCCCGCCTGGGCGCCGTTGTGGCTCGAGGAAGAACAAAATTCCTTGAACACAAACTTTTGGCGCTCCGCGCAGATTTCGATGATCCGCGCTTGGCCCCTTGGCGGCGCCTCCGGCGCCGCCCCTGGCGCGCTCCGCGCGCCTGGGAGGGGGGTCCAGCGCGGATCCAAGAAGTGCGCTCGGAGCGCCAAAAGTTTATGTGCATAGCGTTGTGTTCGGTGGCAAATCATTGGAGTCCTGTGTACCCTGTTGATTCCGTCTCTGGCGTCGATTCGCGTCGATTGGCGTTTGGAAGCCGATGAGATAGCGCCGACTTAGCGTCGGCTAGCGTCGATTAGCGTCGATTCGGCGTCGATTTAGCATCGATTTAGCGTCGATTGGCGTCTATTCGCAAGAGCCGGCAAGATGGTATGGGAGGCTCGCTCCCATGAGTTGCCACCGAACCATTGTCGCAGTCGCCGTGCCCGATTGCGGATGTCAGGGGGTGCGCAGCCGGCGGATAGACGCGGCGCTTCCTGCCATGGGACGGCGGGCCCCACTAAAAAAAAGTCCCATGACGAGCACGGCGCGCAGATGTTCCGAGGAGGGCCAGCGGAGGCAGCGGCAGGTAGCCTTCTGGGGCTCCCTCGTCGCGAAAGGGGGAAGGAAGATCGGCAAACGGGTGAGTTTCTGGTGCCTCCTCTGCCCCCTGTCCGTTTCGTGAATGAGTTGGCATGCGTGGGACTCTTAGGTGCCAATGTTTTTTCCCTAAAAAAAATAATGCCCGTTACGGATGGCCATTATCGAAGCAGTTTCTCTTTAATGGCCTTCGGCCCATCCCGCCGCCGTGCCTGGGTTGTGGGTCAGAGTCCTCATGGATGCTTCTTGGGGGCTCTCAGGAGCGCTCTCAGGAGCCTCCTTTGGGGAACAGTTCTGAGGCCTCTTGGGAGCCTCTTGGGAGCCTCTCGAGGGCCTCTCGGAGGGCTCTTGGGGCTTCCTGGGGGCCTCTTAAAGGCCTCTTGGGGCCGCTTGGGGGCATCTTTGGAGCCTCTTGGGGCCTCCTGGGGGCTTCTTGTGGCCGAGGACTCGAAATTTCCATTTGGGTCGCCCTTCTGGGCCCTCCTCGTTTGGAGCCGTCTTGGGGGCTTCTTGAGCCATTTTGGAGGCTTCTTGGGCCGTCTTGGGGCGCTCTTTGGCCGTTTCGGCGCCCTGTTGGAGCCCTCTTGGGCCGTCTTGGGGCGGTGTTGGAGGTGTCTTGGGCCGTATTGGAGCGTCGGGAAGCAGAAAATGTGAGGAACGCCCAAGTCCTTTAAACACCGAGCGACAATTGCAGGCGCCTTTAAGGGCTCCTGGGCCGTCTTGGAGCCATCGCGGGCGTCTTGGAGCGGTCGTTCGGCGTATCGTAGCCCTCTTGGGCCGTCTTGAGGGTCTATTGAGGCCCGCTTGGCCCGTCTTGGCGCTTTCTTGGGGCCGAACAAGTTACGCGAGAAGATGCGCCAGATCCTCGACAAGCCGCGGGAAGCCACAAGAGGATCGTGAATTTGGGATCTGGGACCCGAAGAGACTCCTTAGGAGTGAGGATTGAGGCTTACCGGATTCGGCCTGCTCCTCTGTCGTGGAGATCGATGTATGTGGGCGAGGTTCCCACCATTATGAAATCTGGAGCCTCTTGCAAGCGCTGGTCTGGCGACCGTGTGCACTCTCTGGAGGAGAGACGCGAGGCAGCCTGCACGTCGCATCTCGCGGTCCTGGGGGAAGGCCTCCTCCTCCTCCTCCTCCTCCTCCTCCTCCTCCTCCTCCTCCTCCTATTCCTCCTCCTCCGCCTTCTCATCCTCCTCCTCCTTCTCCTCCTCCTCCTCCGGGACCCGCTTCCTCGTTGGACCTGGATCTGTCATGCTACGGTCAGGAGCTTTGGCTCAGCGTGTCGCACCCCCGGTTCTGGCCCGCCGCGCTTGGGCGCGGCACGCTTTCCGCGTTCCAGTCCCCAGGCAGCAACGTGCCGAGCTTCTCCCGGCCTCCCCTTCCGCGGGGCAAGGCGACACGCTGTCCGCTTGCTGGGCATCGCGTATTCAAAGAAACGATCGAGTACAGATTCCAGCGGGACCAAGACGCGTGGAGGCGCGACTGATAGCCTACTGACCAGAAAAGAAAACGTGTGCCTCAACTGACCCGATGAATTCAGCATGTCTCGAATCGCCTCGCGCGCTGCGTCGCCGGGGCCGCTGCCGCGGCACGCTCCGCAAGAGCTCCCGGTGTCGGCAGCCTCCGGCCCTCCCGCCGCGGGCGCCGCGGGCGGCAAGCCGAGGAGACGACCGCCAAGGTCGAGGAGCTGAGGGGCTTCCTGGCGTCTGCGCCGCTGGCAGGCACGGCGGGCGGCGCAGGGGGGCAGCGCCGGGGGCGGCAGCGGGGGCAAATGGGGGAGCCGAGGGGCCTCGCGGAGAGTGCCTGCGCCGCGGGCCGAGGGGAGCACGCGATGGGGCGGCGGCGTGCGTCGTCACTGGTCGGGTTGACCCAAGAGGGGGTCCCAGCGACGAGGGGGTGGTGCGATAGATCTGGTGCAGTAGATTCGTGTGGCTGCGATACGTTGGGGTTGTGCAATGCATGTCGGGGCGCAAGTGTATTGCTGCGTTTTCTTGTGCACTGCATTACTTGCAGTACGATGCAATCGAATTCTCCGGCGCAGTACATTTGCAATACCATTGCCCCAAATCTGGTGCAACACCCCCTTTCAGCTGGACCCCCTGTTGGGTCACCCAGAACTGGGCCCTGGGCAGGCGACGGAGGCGGCGAAGACGGCGTGGCGGTGCTTCTAGGAGCCGCTGGGCGTGCCCAGCGCCTTGGTGGAGTCACCCGTGGCAGCGATCGGAGCGGGGGCTGCAGCGGTCGACGAGGCGCTCCAGGAAGCCGCTGCACTGCACTGTCAGTGCAGACCTCGGGCTGCACTTGAACAGGGCAGCCGACCTGCTGGCGCAGACCAGGGAGCCTTGAAGCTTCAGCCTCCTCTGGCCGACCAGAGGCAGCTGAAGGTTCCTGCCCCTCTGGTCCTTGCGCTGCGGCGGTGCAGAAGAGCAGCAGGCTGCCTCTCCAGTCCGCGCCGTGGTCGGCGGGCCTCCTCGAGGGCCAGCGAGGCCCGCGAGCTCCCCAGGTCGCCCCAGCGGTGGGCCGGGGCTTTCGTGCCGCAATGCCCAGGTCGATTGCTTGTAAGAAGGACCCTTCGCCGGAGTGACCTTTTTGTGCGGGCTCACCGCCCCCCCCCTCCGATCGCCGAGCGCGATGCGACAGCCGCTGCCTGCGCGCTTGGACATGGCCACCCTGCGCCCTCTTATGGTCCGCGCACGACAGGTCCCTCTTGCCTGGTGTCCCCCTTGCGTGTCGCATCGCCCAGGGGGAGGCCTTCGCCACCCCAGAGTCGCCGAGGCAGTCCCGAGGCCTCGGGCGCTTGTGTGTGTGTGCGCGTGTGTGTGTGTGTGTGTTGGAGGGCGCGGCTGCGGGGAGGCTCGCCGCGGGACCGGCCCGCGCGGCAGGTGCTGGAGGCAGAGCAGCCGAGGGGCCGCCCTCGCAGAAGTCCCCCTTAGGGACAACGTTCGGGGGGGACAGGCGTTCGGGACGATCGAGCTGGGTACGGAAAGGATGGGTACAAAGACTCTCGGCAGTTCCTGTTCGTTTTGCACAGGGCTCGCTGTCGGTGTCGCCGCGGCCTGTGTCTATTTGAGGCAGAGGGCCGCCTGCCCAACAGCAGCCGCTGTTGGTCTGGGAGAACACGTGTTGTTGGGCTTTGTACCCATTTTTTTCCGTACCCATTTTGGGGCGTCCGCAGGGTGGGGTGGGGGGGACGCATCGACCCTTCCATCGCTCAGTCATCGCGAACAGGGGTCAGAGGCTTCCCTCAAACCCAGGCTTGGGACCAGCTTGGGCAGATTCAGGAGTCAATCGTACATGCTGTCGCGGATCGTTTGATCTTGGAGCCTCCTGATGAGTTATTGTGGCCGTCTTTGAGCACATTTGGGGTCATTTTGGATGCCGTTGGGGCTCTTTTGCAGACCTCCCGGGAGCCTTGGGGGGCACTCTTGGCGCCACTTTGGGAACAATTCGTCAGAAAGGGACCTCTTGGGACGCTCTGCAAGAATTTCACGCTATCTCAATGACGATGTCATGAACAAAGAAAAGGCGGCACATACCTCCCGTTGGAGCCAGACACGTCGTTTCTCGGGGCCATCTTGGGACGCTGGTAGGTCGCCCTTGGGCGCGGCTACCTCTTGGGGCTCTCTCGGGCGTCTGGGAGCTGTCTGGATTCCTTAGAAGCCGAGTGGAAACGAAACTGTGAGAAGGCAAATCATCACATTAGGTTTTTGATGCATTTTGGTCTTTTCAGCGTATCTCTGGGTTGTTCTGTACTTTGATACTTTGAGCCGTCTTAGGGCGGGCCCGTGACCTGTCAGAGACATGCTGCAGTATATCGTCAGCCAGCTTGGACTAGATTGCGCCATCTTGGAGGCCATCTTGGGTCGTCTGAAGTTCTATTTGGCCATCTTGGACGCTCTAATGGGTCGCGCCCCTCCCCTGTCCAGACCCAAGGAAAGGACTTCCCCCAATAGAACGGGTCAACCTCGCCGACAACTCCTCGGCCACAACATTGGCGTTTCGCAGCGTCGCCTTGGCTTCGGCAAGGCAAGACACGGCGAGGCGGTCTCCAAGATAACCACAAAGCTGGCACGCGATGGTCCACGGTGATCCAAGAGTTCCTTGACTGGTATGGCCTCAAGAAGCCTCGAGATCGCCACAAGGCAGCATGAGGTGGCCACGAAGTCTCCCATAGTCTCCCAAAGATGGCCCCGAGAGGCTCAGGACCTTCAAACACCCGAAGTGTTCAGTGATGTTTGCCGCTTTGTTTTCCCGCTTCCGATAATCAGGCTGGTAAGGCTTCAACCAAGATCGCCCAAGAGAGGCCCCAGAAGGGCCCAGAATCCTGGGAAGGGC